GTACGCAGTGCTGCTCCTCTTTTGCTGATGGCAAAGCCAGGCAAAGCATCTGGCATCAGGATGGACCCACAGCAGCCCAGCTGGTAAAGAAACATCACTGAGGGCCAGGCTGTCCACCTAAATCCATAGGCAGGGCCTCTCATATGGTGGTATCGTGCCTCTGAGAGTGGACAGAGACAGGAGAGTTGGGTGTCAGTTCCCTCCTAAGCATCCTCTTCCCATGTTGCCAGACAACAGCTAATTCTCCAAAAGGAGGGATAAGTGTGAAGACATGCATTGCCGTCCTGCCAGCAGCTCAACAGGGAAAACGCCACAAAGCAGCAACAGGCAGGACCAACTCCCTACAAAGCTCTCCCCGATACTCTGCAACCTCCCCTGACAGGAGTTCTTGGGTGAATGAGATAAATCCCTCCCGCTAAGAAGATGAAAAGCAGGTCGAAAGAATTTCCTCAGGGGGCTGGCCCTGTGCAGATAGCCTCTAGGAGCATCTATGGGATAACAGGCATACCAGCTCCAGAGAAAAAACAGTTCAGTCTTAGGACTGGAACTCCCTTTTTTTGGGGGGAAAAAGAACCACCCCAAAACCTGCATTTTATTTTCTTTTTCCAAATTTTGTCACTTTTTCCTCAAGGCAGGGCTGGTCCAGTATTCTAAGCCCTCACCGAAGAAACAAAGTGAAACAAGTCCCATTTTCAGCATTGATAGCAACTGCCTCTCTGGGCTCTTGGTGGCACAAGGGAAGACAAGATGGCACAGACTGCTTTGCTACCCAGGCTGTACATCCTGGTGAACCAATTCCCAGCTAGGGACACTTCCCCTGCAGTGCCAGCTTCTCTCCCCAGGGATGAAACTTTATCAACAACAGTCTTGCAGAGCAGCATGACATGAATGGCTGAAGTTGCTAAACAAACCCGTCTTACACTTCCAGGCAGTGAACACGCTTGGGAAACAGTGAAAGCAGGAACAGACCTATGATAATTGTCTTCTTTCTTAGGGATCCATATGAATGCATCTTTTTTTTTTTTAATTAGAAGTAGTCACGTTTTTCTTAGATACAGTGTTAGCAAAATGACCACTGAATGGCATGTTTGCTTTTTTCTTTTGAAAACAGCATCAGCCTAAAGTAGATTTGCTCATGATAAAAATATTAATTTTGAATAGTACCATATCATCGAATTTGAGAAATTACAAAATTATATTGAGAAAATATTAAAGTATTTTTCTCTTAAACAGTAATGCTAGACTGAGGGAATGCACAAGTTCAGGGATTCCCTATAATGACAATAAATGTTGAGGTATAATTAGTAATATTTTTGAAAGCCAACAATTGTTTTTTGAAAGAAAGGTACATTTTAGTTTCAAACTGGAACACAAATTACTGTATTTTTCTTACAATAGTGCTGAACTTTTATTTGAGGTTCTCTGTTTCTGAAAGCAGACATGATGGATTGAAATAAAAGATAATTTATTGCAATGCTTACTTTCAAGTGCAGAGAGAAGCAGTGTAATTGTAATTTACAGTAGCTGTCAAGGAAAATCTATCACAGATGACATTAAAATGACTTATTTTGCCTGAGCCACTTATTGTTTAAATGTGCATAATCTGATAGAAACAGATTTTTTTCTAAATCTGCTTTATATTGTTCTAAATTAATATCAAAACATATACTTATGAGTTAAACATTTTAAACCATTTATTAATACTTTCATCACTACTATTTTTACCTAGGAGTTGGAAATTGGTTTATTTAACAATATCACATTTATGTTTTTTAGCTCTCTACACTCACAACACTTCCACATACATAAACTCACTGTCTAAAAAGTAGATTTCAGACAAGATTTGTTTCTGTCTGAAAGAGAAATGTCAGAAATGGTTGAAGAAAATGGAAGATAGGGCCCAATTCTGTTTCCACTGGAGCTGACCGACAGTTTTGCCACCACCTTCAATAAGAACAGGTTAGCAAAGATTCAAATTTTTCTAAGCAAAGTAACTCATGAATCCATGCAATCTTTTATTTGCAACTTGTAGCTCATGGGAGAAGGAACGGCTATCCAAGAAATACTCAGTGTCAGCTATCGAGCTTCCATAACAAAGACTATGTTAGAATACTGAATGCAAACTTACCTCTGCGATGTAATTATTCCCAAACCTATTGTAGAAAGGAAATATTCTGATTATTTCTGCCTAAGATACGTTTATCACTTGAGCATCTTTATAGAAAATATTGATGACAGAAACCTAGACACATTTCCATTCTGATGGGCCTAAATGTTTTCAGCTTGTAGGCACTTGTTCTCAGGTATTTAAGATATCTAACTCTCCTGAAACTTAAGATTTTGATGTATGTATTATGTACGTATGTCTGCATGCAAATGTCAAATGACAAATAACCAGAAATACACAGCTTCAACAAACCAAGGTGATCTTTCAGCAGAGGCACTGTTAAAGTAGTTCTAAACAAATCAGCACATTTAAATCATCTACATGATAAAATATTGAGAAATAAAGTTAACGACCTACTATTTTACATGTAGTTTTGAACACCTACTAGCTTTGATTAATCTGCTTTTCAAAGGGGGCGCTGACTATATATTTACACTTTGCAAGTAAACTGACCTCTCTACCAACACAGCAAAAATCCAATGTCACATTCAATTCTGTTCTTTTTCTTCTTTTTCTTTTTTTTTTTTTTTTTTTTTTTTTTTTTTTTTTTTTTTTTTTTTTTTTTTTTGGATACAGCTAGAATTAATGTAGTGAATCTGTAATGAAATGCATTATCCTGCATGGAGATTTATCAGATTTTCCAAATGAATGCCATGCTTTGCTAGCACTAGCTGGAGTTCACCTGCATGTTGGTGTGGCGTGTGGCTCTTTTTTGTAAAGAGTTAAGTTGAACACAAAAAAAGGGAACAAAGGTCAGCACCCAGCCGCCACTTGAATGTGAGATTTTTCTTTTTATTCCCCTTGATGTATACTAGGCTCTGTGTTATTAGTCTTAATGATGGAAAATTGTAGTGTTGATACAAATCTTTTTTTCAAAGTAGTAGGCGGGAGCTCCATTTGTTAGTAAGTTTTTTTGTGACTAAAAGCCACAGACAGTACATTTATGTAGCAGTAAAAGGCCTAGATGCTCTTTCCATAGCAGAGCTAATTATTCCTACTGTGACCTTACTGATCTACCCTGTTCCTAGTACATCTCATCTGCACGCCTGTTCCTCTGTGTAGATGGTGTCAGAGAATATGAAAAACCCTATAATGAAACCATTTTCATGATGGAGAAAGGCTACTGGAGTTGCACTTGCTACAAAGAGGCTCAATTATATGAGTAATTGTGATAATTTTCTACATTCATAGCCTTCAATGGGGAAAAAAGAATGAGAGCCACAAAGGAAAATTACTTTAACAAGAAAGTACAGAGAGTAAAAATGGAAGAAGAGACAAAAAGGGGGAAAAAAATAACCAGAAAAAAAGTTTAAAAAATAGATCTGGAGGGAGGAATAGCAAGACAGGGAGAACAACAGAAATGCTCAAAAAGCCTATGTGCAGCTGTGTTGCACAATTAAATTGAATTTTTTTTCTGCAGTTGATGAATGTGACTACTGCAAATGTGCCTCTGTAGTTAGCTATCATTTGTTGTTCCGTGACAGGAAAAGGATAATTACCTCTCAGAGAGAATCAAAGGCTGACATGCCCTTTAGACACAGCCATGAATGCAGAGCTCGATAGAATGCTTGAATAAGAATCCAGTGTTCTGTGCCCCCTTCTACTCAAGAATAAATTTTGTTAAAATGCAAGAGCACCACCAGTAAATTTGTTGAACCCTAGGTGTTCAAAAATATGAGGTGCATCTACCGACTCATCCCATTTGCAAAAATAAAACTACATTTTGAATTCACTTCTATTATATTCATGGACAGTAAGATAGTGAGATATGCATTAAATTTCTTTTCCCAGTAGGGGTCTGATTCAACATTTCCTATGAAAGAACAGAAAGACACTATCCTTTTTCTCCAGGCTAGTTAGCCTATAATTTAAAACTGTCAAAAACACAATTTTATACAAAGTCTTCAATAAAAGCTTCTCAGATATAACCCAAAGAGGTTTTACTAAAGTTTGATTCAGACTCTGTTACAATATTTTTAAAGCTATAAATACATCTAACTGATATTTTGCTGTTCTCTTTTTTCCTTAAAGTATTTGAAGATTTACAAAGAAAAAAAAGCAGCATCCTTTCAAGGTGACTAAGCCTTGCAGCTTTTAAGTAATCAGAACGTATTCAATAGCATGTTGGGACCATTAATAGTCCAGTGAAGTATTGCTTAATGAAATGTATACGATAGATGTCTTTTTTTTAGCAAACATTTTAAAATAATCCATAGGTACCTTCAAAAAACTAAGCCGTATTTTTATTCAAAACCGCCAGCAGAAGAAGAGTCATGACTGCATTTATGTGAAGGCTAGAAGAGATGCAAAATAGAGAAAAATCTCTGAATGTGGGCTCTTTTTTCCCTGTGACATTAGCATGCACTGCTCTTTGTAAGATCTGAAGCTCTTGAGTTAAATATTTTTGTACTTTTTAAACAAAGAGACTTATTTATGTTGACTAATTCCTTTGTAACATTCGTTATTGCCATACAATGAAAACAATGGTTTCTAACCTTCTTACATCGTTAGACAGATGTGGTGTAGTTTCACACATAAACAAAAAATAAAAAAAAACCCCACCGCAAATTAAATCTGTTAATTTAAATCTACCTTATGAATAACTTTTGACTCTTTCTACAGTTATCTTTGCTGACCCTAGTGTAATTCACTTTAAAAAAAAAAAAATTTCTCTTACCCAAGGAACAACATTATAGCTTGGCAGTTCACATACTGATATCAGACTGAAATAATGGTTTTGAATCATAAAACATGTCATCAGCTTTATACCAAACCACCAATAACCTTTGTCCCACTTGCCAGCCCTCCCTTTACTTGTCAATATAAGGCTTACCTGATTGTGTTTCCAATTACAGAGAAGGGAGCCCCTGGTCTGCAAGCTGCAATTGCTTCATCTCTACATTTCCTGGCAACCTCCACTAACTTTTGACCAGATTTATCCACATTGCCCACCAAAAAGGTTTCAGAAGTGTCACCATGGTAGCCATTGTAATACACCTAAACATATGCAGAAATGTAAAGACATTTTCTTGTTTTGCATGCAGAAACAGATCGTCTCCTTAATTAAATCCATTCTTCCTAAGATTGAGCTATATATTGCAATAGATAGACCACGGGTAAGTTGTATTTGCGTGAATGAGACTGGAAAAGCAAAACATTGCATAAAAAAAAAAGGCGTGAAAGATTGCAAGGTGTGCAAGGGTTGACAATTAAAAATTCAAGAAATGCAAAAGTTGTGCATCTCTGCCCAGCAGTGCACCAGAAGATGACATTGCTCAACCACAAGACACGAGGCTAACTGGGCTGTATGCGCGAAGACGGGTGCGGGCTGTGCATGGGCTGAAGGGGGCCTTGGGAGCCCTCAGGTGCCCAGCTGCCCACCTCTGGGGCCGGGGATCTGCTCATACCCCGCAGGGGTAGGGCATCGAGCCCCGGTGCTGGCCATGGGTGCTGGGAGACCCATTGGCGGCTGGCGGAGAGACCTGTCCCTCCGCAGCCGGCATCCCCAGTGGGGTTTTGAGGTGATGCTGTGCGCAGCGCCTGCTGCTGCCAACATCCAGAGGGAGCCCCATGGAAAGCACGGGCCAAATCCAATGCCCACCGTTGCATGTTTTCTTTAATCTCATTTGTAAACTACAACATGGCATTAACATTGGATTTTACTTCTGATTTCCAGAGATGAATTTTGAAAGAGAATAAATGTACCGTTCTGGCACCGCAAAGTTTCACGTGCTGAAAACATAGCACACCCTGTTGAATTAATTTTGTACTGTCTTTTTTTTTTCTTTTTTTTTTTCTTTCCCCCCTCTCCTTTTCCTTCTTTCTGACATTTCATAGGTTTTAAACCTCAGATCTCCAGAAATTCTCTGCCGGGTACAGGAAACCCTGGACCTGCACTATGGAGCTCTGCAACGCCCCATTAAAATGGGGTTTGCAGCTCTGCAGTACAGCAGGCAGGCACATAATTGCAAGACCAAGCCAAATTCCCCTACAGAAAGACAAATTGTAATGGTGCACAGTTTTGATCTTCTAAAACATTTTTTTTTCCCCCCCGACAGCGGGCAACTATCCTTCTAGGACTAATAACTCACGCAGCTCGAAGCACTGAACTTTTGCCACTGGCGAGCTATTTGTGAAAGACAGACTCACATTCTTTTTGGTCAATTCCAAACTAGGAAAAAAAAAAAAAAAAAGAAAAAAAAAATTGGCTACAGACAGTTTATCCCAAGGTCAGGTTTGTGTTCAGGCCAAGATGTGAAGAAAATGCAGGCAGTTAGGAGCGAGGGGTGTTTTAAAGAAAGGTGAGCGCCAGCAAGGGCCCAACCGTGTTGCCACCACTCTGGCAGAGAGTGGCTGCGATCCCCGGCTCTACACCTTCTTCTGCCAGTCCCGACTGCCACTAAATCTTTTTTTTTTAATTTAATGCCCATTGGGCAGGTTTTAATCTAGCTAGTTCATATTTCAACTTATGTAGTTCATTTTTAGCTCTAGCAAGTACAACACACAAAACTCCAGCATTAAACATCATCATCCTGGAAAAACAAATACAGATTTAAAACATAGGAGAGCTTAAAAATAATAATAATATTTACTGCAACCCTTCAACTGCAATTACATATTTTTGATGTTAATAAGCTACAACCACAGCAACTGTAACACACTAATTCTTTAAAAGTCCATGAAAGAACCAAGTTGTAAGAAACATTAACTTGGTAATGTCTGGCTGAAAATTGCACTATGCTGAGGATTCAGTGATGGATAATGTTGTTTCTACATTGTTTCTACATTAGAATACACTTTAAAGGCTACATGATTCAAGCCAATAAAATTTGTATTTAATCTATGAAATTTTACTATCTTAATTGTGCAAAAATGGATTTTTTTCTTCAAATAATTTGTACATAGCGTGAAGTGTTCACATTTAATATCAGAATATTATTTAACAATTTTATAGAACCTGTACACAACTATAAACAATTTGTTGTGCAATATTTACTTTGATTTGTATTCTGTCCACCTGTGAAACATCCCAGTTTTGCTCATTAAAAATAAACTAAAGGATCAGTTAGCAACGCTGAAAAGTAGTATTCTTTACTCAGCTATTTTGGAACCGAGCAATGATCAAACACAGCACAGTTCAGTTTTAAATGATTTAAAAAAAAAAAAAAATCTTACAAAGATAATCAGCAATTCCCATCCTTGCAGGAATCTTCACATTCACAGAAATGTCAATATTTATTTTATTTTATGAGGGTAAACAGAAAACAAATAAAAATATGTCTTCAAAAAGACCAGTAACATTTAGTCAGACATTATTTGTAAAGCAGAGTGGACAAGATATGCACACCACGTTAATATAAAAATGTTTCGTTTAGTTTACCATGGCAAATATCTGTGATATGAACCTACACTTCTTTTTAATCTAAGGCGTCATTATTATCTTGACAGATAAAACAAAAAAATAAAATTAACCTTAATGAGATACAAAGAAACCAGATGTTAAATCCTTAGCTGTTGCAAACTGATTTAGTCTAATAAAATGAGCAAAGCTACACCAGTTCACCAAAGTAAAAATGTAGGCCAAAAATATACTTCAAAAATGATAGCTCGCACTGTGTAAACCTGATAGGCAGAATTCTACAATTAGAAAGTATGGAAATGGGGAAGAATTTAGAAAGATTAAAAAACCAAACCAAACCAAACCCAGTGCTGGATCACACGTGAGTATACCACGGGAAAAAGGTCACTGACCCTAATTTTAATAGAAAAAATATTTTAGAAAGCTTGAATCTCATGCTCAGAGGTAGGTCTGCTGGAGATTTCTTCGATTCTGCCAGTATGAAATTTGGGCCCATGGAAAATAGTATCAAGTTACCAAGAGTTTCTTTAATGATTAAAAAAGCTTGTTTTTATGAGATATTACTCTCTTGTACGTGACATATTATTGCAAAATAACGGTGGGATTCAAAAGATGTCTATGTTCATATTAGAAATAAACGGCACTCTGGGAAAATAAAAACATGCACAGTAAAAGGAAAAAAAGCTTCTGCCAGAGATGAATAATTTTTTTTTTTCATAAGTGAAACGAGAATTAGGTTTCCAGTTTCTGTACTTTCTTGCTCCTAAGAAAATCCAGCCAGTGTTTATTTAAATAGCTATAATTGACCATTCTCTGGAAATATTAAGTCACGGTTATATCACACTATTTCTGTTTCTGCGCAAAAGGTTCAGGGCTTTTATACCAGAAATGGAACACAACACTACCTTCGGGGATTTTAATAAATGTAGGGAACACTGCTAGCAGAAGAGTTGCTGTCCAAATAGACTGACATACACAGGCCAATGTAGCCTCTAATGACAGAGTAAGATAATGACAGGCCCCACTCAAAATCCGCAGGAAGAGGAAGATCAAACCTGGCAGAGTGAAGGAAAAATGCTGGCTTTCTTCATGTTAGCTCATCTCATACATATCTATCTTCAGCTGCTGCCCAGTACTGTGGTGCTCTGCATTAACTACACAGTGGATCAATAACAATTACACCTTCTCAAAAACATGACACATAGCAGGATTGGGTTGACATTTCACTTAGGCCAACATTGATCTCAGTGCATCTGATTCCAGTCCTAAATTCAAGTCAGGCCTGGGTCTAGCTGGAATAAACACACAGTTAAAAACAAAAAAGGAAACCAGCTGCTTGTGCCTTGGCTCAGAAGTAAACAGCACATCCATCTGTGCATCCCCCATCTCCAATCCACTATTCTTCCTGCTACTACTAGCGATTCTAAAGTTGATCAAAGACTATTTTTTATATGAATTACTCACCGTGACATCAATGTTGATAATATCTCCATCCTGAAGAGGTCGACTGAAACATAAACAGGGAAAAAAAAAAAAATGGTGACAGACAGTTCCCAACAAAGGAAATATAAGAATAAACACCTAATGACACATACATAAAAAATCAGGGGGTAGATATTTTGTGATGAAGGAAAGCAGAGGCAAACAGAATAACCATTTTTAATGTTCAGCTCTCACAACTTAGAGAACAAGTGTAGCTGAATATAAAATAATGAGAAACAACTATCAGCAAAACATATCAACACCTGAAAAATCTACCATTGTATTTATTCTTTTTCTCTCACTAGGGTTCATATTTTACTTTGTGAGTAGCTGAATGTATTGCAAATTAAAAAAAACCCCACACATAAATTCAAATATATTTATTCCTTACCCTATACTTATTTTGCTGGAGGGGGAGGAAGAAGAAAGAAAAAAAAAAAAAAAAAAAAAAAAATCAGACTGCACTGTTTTTTCCACACACTAAACTCTAAAGGCATTATGTTATTTTTTTTTAAGTGTCTGGACAAACAGGATAATTTTTTTTTTTTTTTCTATTTCACATACATTTCTGTAACATCTATCAGCATTGTCTGGTAATATGATATGCATCTGCAATACATTTACATATGACATTTAGTTAAGCCGAAGTATGTTCAGTATTAAACACAATCTATTAATTTCAGTTTAACATTTTCATTCCCGGTGGTAAAATGTATATTATTGGGGAAATACCTGTCAGGAATACCATGACATACCACGTTGTTTACAGAAGTACAAACAGATTTTGGAAAACCTCCATAGCCCAGAGGTGATGGATAGGCATTCTGTCTGATTATTTCATGATGAACAATGGAATCTATTTCTTCAGTTGTCATGCCAACCTAAAATATCAAACATAACATCCTGTTAAAAAACCAAAGATAGTTTCTCATATTTACTGGATGTGATTGCAGCCAAGCGTTTCAATGAAATCTTGGATGTTTCAAATACGCTGCTTTGATACAAAACACTAAACAGTCTGATATACTTTATTGACAATTGGACCTTTTTTTTTTAAAAAAGAAAAAGGTTTTAGATAAAGCATGCAGTAGAAACGAGCACTCACAGGTTCCTAGAAAACCTAAAATACTGTCTACTTCCTTTCCGTTCTTTTTTCCACATTTGCTTTCTCAAAGACACCAATTTTCCATGGCATCTTGTTTCAGTAGCTGCTATAGAAATGTCTGGTTTCAATGCTTTCAATCCTTCAAAACACACTACTACTTTCCCTTTTTATTTGTAAAAGAAAGGATCTTAATTCTTGTAACCACCCAGTACATTTATCATAATGTACTTGTGCATTTCATGAAATTGTTTTCCAAGTATTCTTTAATTTTATAAAAGATTTAAATATTTGGCTTCATATCTTGAGGATATTTTACTTAAAGTTGGATGATCACAGTGAATCTACAAGCGCTTATCCATCATTTTTAGAAATCTTCATTTTTATGCTCGATGTTTTCTAGATTCATCTTTTTTTCATAATTTTACATATTAAAAAAACCTCTCATAAATCATTCAGCCATTTTCTGAGTATCCATGGAGGGGAAAACACACACACTTAATATAACATTCTTCTTGTTTTTCTTTTGGATCGACTCTGTCTCTGGAATGGTTAGAGCTGAAATTTGAAATTTGGTAGGGAAACCTCCCTCATTGAGAAGAAGTGCCTCTGAGGGTTCCTCTGCAAATTGATTTTGATTTGAACGAGTTTTGAGCCTTTGAAAATCATACTTTGTACACATATACTACAGTGGCTGTGATTTTGGAGGACTTTTTAGTAACACGTGGAATATAGGTAGGCTGTGGCGCAGGAGGCATACTTATCCATATATTGAAATATTCAGTGATCACGCACAGTTAATACAGCGGAGTGCACTTGTGTACTGTGCTGAGGATAAAACCAGGTCTATTTGCTCAGCTTGCATCTTGTTCAGCACAAAAACGTGGTTGGGCAGAAGAGGAGCAATGAACCAACTCAAGACCAGGATTTGGGGTTACTGTGCAACCCCCCTGCTTTGCAGTAGCCATTGCAGCCTCTGTGCTAGGATGGCAGCCGCAGCCCCGGTGCGCTGTCTGTATTGGATACTGCAGCCATCGGTTTGGGATAAATACAGGTTTGTTGCTCCTGCCTCTGCTTACTCATCTACCGTCTTCAGCCCATAGACAAACTGAACCGCCATGTACCAGACTGGGTGCTGTATGCCGCCACTCTGCACAAGGAACTCGACGTGTTGATTTGGACACTCGGCAGACAGATCCGCGCTCTCTGCATAGCAGGCTGACACACTGTAAAAAGTTCTGCTTTTAACAGTATTTGCTTTACTTTTAAAGGAGTTTTTGCTAGCTGGGCAATGTGGGGAGGCACCTACTGCGCACCTCATCCATTATTTGGGAAAGGGCAAACTGATGGTATCTAACAAAATACTTCCATGTCATAGAATTTGCTGCTTTATTCCCAAATATTTAACTCAAACCCAGGAAATGCAATCATATATAATACCATGTTGTATTTTTAAGTCCCACAGGCAGTAAATGGTTATATCAAAACCACGCTCAGCCCAAACTTTGTCTCTCTGCATCCATACATTATAATGCACCTTTGTTATACTGGGGGATGCTGCTGCCATTAGCTAAAGCACAGGCGAGAGCTGGTTTGGAGGGCTGCATGCAAGGTGGGTTCAGCAAGACAACAGGAACAGGTGGAGGGATAGGGCTCTACAGATAAAATAGGAATGCAGAGTTTACCTTATGAGAATAGCCTAAAAGAGCTTGGTTTGTTTAGTCTGGAGCACTGAAAGCTGTAATAGCTCTATTACTGTGTGAAGGGGAGAGACTCAAGGAAAGGTGGGAAGCTGTTTAAATTAAAGAGTGGTGTTGGCACAAGAACAAATGGATATAAACTGGCCACGCGCAACATCAGGCTGGAAAGCAGAAGACGCTCCCTGTCGATGAGGGAGCATCCTCCCAGCCAGGGGAGTCTTGGCCAAACATTTACTGCTGTAAAATGGAGCTCACCAGCTGTCTGCAGCTGACCTGGGAAGCAGTCTTGGCACCGCAACTCCAAGTGCCACCTCCCTCCCAGTCCACAGCTCCTGGTCATGTAATTCTTACCTTATAAGCCGCCTTGCTCCAAAACGTTCATGTAGTATTTTGCTATTATGTATGATTTGGCACATACTATGAGCTACATCATAAGCTACACCATGCTGCATACATACGTATTTTACATATGATAACAACCAAAGAGTGTGAAAAACTGCTCTCATGCAAAACCCACGTTGCACCCTGATCCTTCAGAAACATGTCTATGCCCTTAACTTTACATGAGTAAGTTTTACTGTACTAGGAAATAATTGCACATAAAGAAGTTAAACATGCACGAGCATATATAAGATTAAAGCTTCAGGCAGTTTTGTTTTTGGTGACCCCAGCTCCAGATGGGAAAGTGTGATGATAGCTGAAAGAAAAATGCACAGTAAACTGATAATTTTTTCCCATTTTAAGTCAATGGGATTGACCTACAGTCCCCATCTATCTCGGCATCTCATAGCAACTCAACCCATTTTACCCTATCCAGTATGCTATTACATGAAATACCACGGCAAGGCTAAAAAAGCACTCCTTCATCTGCAAAACCTGGTAGTAGCCTCCTCCCAGTACATTTTTAACTTGGGCGGTATCCCAAAAAGCATACTGTAGAAACATTAGTGGAAACCATGAGGCTTTATTATCAATGCACTCTGGAAAATTGTGTGGAATTTGGCAGCTGTTTTTTCCAACAACAGCTCTACAAGTTGCGCCGGACCCTGCGGGACAGTGAGGGGCTGAAGAAGGATGGATGGGAACAGAGGAGGCAGCCCAGCCCTTTGGACTTGCACACATGCAGAGCCAGAAAGCACGATGTACGAGGAAGATGGGCCATGAAATGAAAGGAAAAAATGTAGCATGGGCCTTATGAGAAACTCACATGGTTTGGCACAATCCGAACAGAGGGAGATTACAGAGAGATACTACACCTGAGCCAGCAACTCACTCTAAGTTCTACATAGGTCCAAAATACAGAAATAATGAAACAGGCATATCATGGACTGAATAAAAAGTTAATAAATCCTTCTTTTTCAATATCTAACTTAAAGTTGGATGCACATTAAGGGAAAAAAAAAAAGTAGAAAAAAACCCCAAATAAATGAAAGCATAAAAGACATCCAAGCTGTTATGAGACTTCTGTAGTTGTTACCTTTAAGCCCTTTCCAGCCAGAAGCAGGACATGACGGGCCAACTGACAAGCTTGACGAAGCCCTTGAATCTGATCTTCATTCTTAATTTCTATGTCGTCTCCCCAGTCTGGTACAATGCCTGTCGTCACATAGTCTGGCTTCTTTATGTGCTTGGAGAAAAAGGATTGAAAATGAAGATCAGAAAACTGAGCATGACAATGGGATCATTTTCTCAGATACTGCCTCCTGCTTCATGGCAGCTTGCCCTTTCTGTCGTAGTATCGACCTTCCTAAGCCATCAGGGCAAACCCTCAAGGCTGCCTCAGTATTTCTTCCACTGCCCTTTTGAACTTAACATTGCCTGTTACTACTACTGACTTATACAGTCTGTTAACCTTCCAGTGCTGAAACCGACTTCCAGCACAGACAGTTCCAAGTTTTAAAACTGGGAGAAAGAGACTTAAAAACTCTTTATTGTCTTTTGCAAAGAGGCACATTTTCTACAGAAGGCATCTAAACACTGGAACTGATGGGACAACCATGCAGAATTAGGCTGAAAAATAAACCTGATCAAATCCTTAGTTTCTCTTTCAGACAAAACTCCTATTAACTTCCATGAGATTGCTTTTTGACTAAGAACCTTAGGATTTAATTTATTTTAATTTAGAGGTTTTTACTTATTAATCTAGTTCATATGTTGTGCCAAAATTCGTCCATCTATGCCACTATGCAAGGGTATCCCAATTTGCTGTGTCAAGGAAAGTGTAATAAACTTCATTTTTTGCACACAAAGTTCTCGGCCCTCGTATAGAGGTGAAATTTCCTTTCTGATTTTTTTTAAATCCACAACAATTTCATGACACGTGTATGAACACGACAAACTAAAAATAATGGTAACATCTTGCACAGAGATGGAAATGCACTTTCCCTCAGAGGGTCATGGGCTGTTTCACCAACTGGAGAAGGGTCCCTTCGCCCACCACAGCCAGGCTGATTCTCTGCCATGCTGACCACAGGGTGAGTTTTGCACTGACTTCACAAAATACAGAATCAAGCTGGCAGGCATAAAACAAAATGGGCACTTGGGTTGTGCACCACAAGACCATACAACAGCAGGGTGTCGGAGTAAAGAAGAGTGGGGCAACCAATTCGCTCTAGTGGGACTTTAAATAGGAAGACTATTGTTACTCCTACGGGTATTTCACTTATACTCTGATAAAAAGTGAAACTATCTGTAGTGGACTTATGTCAAAAGAATTTCAGTTTTTACATTTCATTCAAATTAATGGCATATCAACCCTAACAACATCTATTGCAGTAGTTTGGGACTTAATTTAGATAAAAACCCCACCATTTTCTGGATTAGCAACTCCATACACAGCAGCACCCTTGCTTACCCCTTGGAGGGTACTTACTTAGTAACTGCTGAGACCTGGCCCTGCTGACCTGTAAGATCTCTTAATGGAGAAGCCCAAAGCAGTGTACATACAAATGTCTATGTATACAGTTTCACACCAACATCTTGAAAAAACCCATGTTATTTCAATGTGATTTCTTCCATACTCTGTATAAAGTAATAACTTTGCCCTCAAGTTCTCAGAGTTGAAGAATTGGACTGATTTTTAGACAGTCTGAGAACTCTGATCTGTGAAGACAACTTTTCAGTATGACGATATATTTCTCCCTCTTTATCCTAAAAGAAGCATCTAAATGCATAAAAAAAAGTTTGTAAGTTCTACATTTTTTAAATCTTTGAAAATATATAAAGCATGTAACCCTATGGTCTCCCTGCACACAGAGCTTCCGCAGCCTCTTAGGTGTAAGAGCCCTACATCCAGCATCCTTAACTGCTTTCCTATCTAACAGCTTTTTAGTATTTCTGGCCCACGGAAATACTCCATATTTTGCATAAGAAATCTATAATCAAATGAAAAGTAAAACTTAAAAAAGTACCAATACAAATCCTGAAAAGCACTGTTTAGAAAAGGTACTTTGGTTTTCTTTTGGCTAAAGGAAAGATACTAAACAGTTAATTTGTATGCTGTAATTAAACGGAAAAAAAAAAAGAAAAAAAAAGGAAAAAAGGAAACAAGAAAACAAGAAGTGGAACACATGTTAAAATTGTATGAAAAAGTTCCTTTTGGCTCTAAAGTAAATAAAAGTATATGTTGCAGGAAAAAAACCACTCAGGGACAGTAAAGATGAGTTTAGAACGTGCAGTGGGGTTGTGGGGCAGCTACCAGCAGGTATTAGACATTCTCTTCCTAAATCTGACATAACCAATTAACAAAACCTTCAGCAAAACATAAACATTTTTATAATTAGCTTTCTAGAGATTTATACAGAAAAGGACTTAGATGATCATGAATGATTCCTACTGACTTTTGGTAGGACCATCTGTAATTGTCCAAAATGAGAATCTGGACCCAAAAGTGTTAAGTGTTGACAGATGATTATAATATTCCACGTTCATACTACCATAACTGAACAAGCCCCAGATTTAAACTCCCTAATAACTAGATACGCAACTGTGTTTAACATGCTAAGAAGCTGAAAACTTCTCTCACCAGTGCTCCCATTTCAAATACCAGACCAAGCAACAGGACGGTGATCCAAACCCCCAGCTGTCGGACAACGAATACACTTGATCACGCCTGCAAGTCGAACTCTATTCTGACTGAAGAACAGATTAGGTAATAGAAATTGCAGTACCTTAGGAACTGGGTGAGCTGGAGAAACCGTGGCTGGCCAAACTATACTATAAGCAGTATTTCTTTGTCCCTGAAAAAAGAAGCATCTTCGCTGTTGATTGCTTGACTGCCTGTGCAGGTAGATACGATTGCACGAAGAAAAGATTATGCAGCAGCCAGTCACAGAACCTGTTAAGAGATAAGTTGAAAATGGTTAGCCTTTTTTTCTACTACCACATTACACAGTGGAAAGTATACAAAAAGAAGGGCATCGTGTTAAACAAACCACAGAACTCATGTAGTAGCAAAGGGTAGTTCAAATTGTTCAAATCTTGTACTGTTAAAGAAAGAGCATTAACACCAAGAAGCAATGAGAACAAAAAACGTTCCCAAACAATACTTCAAAGCTTAATAAAATACCAGATCTATTTTGATTTGATGTATTAAAAAGTAGCATGGGTAAATTCCCCAAAGCTTACAGCCAGGAGTGACGCTCCGACTGGCCCCTGCTTGTAGCCATTTGCACAGCGAGAAGCTGCACTGTTCAAGGCTTGGGGAAACAGCAAATAAGGGACAATAGCAAGAAAAGAGGAGAGAAAAAAAATGATTTAATGTTGATTTCAGCCAATATTTTCACCAATATTTTTGCAGAATTGGTCACAGATTTAACCATAACCAAGTTAACGTTGCTCTCGTCATTTGCACCAACACACAAGGAACGGGGTTCAATTTGTCCTGCCTAGCAGGGCAACAGAACAAACTTCAAGAGATATTTTTAATCTTTGCCAAAGGTAATTGAAGGGATTAAAATTTGTAATTGACCTGGAATATTTGAATCAGATTTCCATTTAATTCACATGGGAATTCGGGATGATAGTCCATCAGAGTATTCATTGCTCAAACTTGAAGTTGCTGGGCAATGACACATTTTAAAAAAGGCAAAAAAAAGGGCATTGAAGCCCAAAGGTTGTCAGAGACATCAAAACCAAAATAATGCATCACAAAAGACGATGCTAGCATCAAAACCGGGAAACACACTAAATTCAAAGTGATTATTGACACTGCCCAGTTAAACTACAATTACACATATTTCCATCACTCAAACATTCTACAATCTAAACAGAGGAGTTTTTTGAAACATAAGTTTCACATAATAGTTAAGCTGCTTCTGAAAAATGTCATATGTATACAAATACAAGACCAACCTTTTGTGGCAAATAACCCATACGAATAATTACTCTTCAGTAAAAATAAAGTGTTTTTGTTTAAACAGAAGTAACTAAACATTTTTATATCACAGAAATTAAGAAATTAACTGCATATTTTGTAACTATGTAAATATGATTTTTTTTAGAAGAATAGTTTCTTCCATATCTTATATGTTTTTATTGTACCTTCCTTCCTTTCCTTGCATTTATAATGTCCAGATGCAGAAATTATCTTTCCACATGCACACTTGGCTTCATAGACAGCCCTTTTACAGCATTCCACGATATACAGGAGATTCGAGTTACGCACCTTTTTTGAAGCCGAGAATGAATGAAATAGTTGCATGGGGTTTGCTTTAGAAATGTTCCCGACTGTCTCTTTGCACACTGATCAGTGCTACATTTAGTTACCAATATCTGAATTTGTATAACACCTGAAAGGTTGTAAAGACTTTTACTCAATGCAAGGAAACTTTCAGCATTTTAAAAAATTGTTTGTAAGTATAAGGCAGAGTTGGAGAGTGAGGCTCAGACCAAGCTCTCAGTATAACCTAGGTACCCCAATAGAAGTTGCCTGCTTCAAGTGTCTCCACGGAAGCACAGCTGCCCAGTTAACAGAGGGTGGACTGGTTTGGTGGTATTTTAATTATCATTTAATCAGCAACCTCATCATCTACTGCTTTCATAGGATCTCCTTCACAAGAAAAAAATCATTGTCCAATTAAAAAAAAAATCTGGGCGACCCAACCTGCACAAAGTATGAGCGCATCCAAAGAGCCCGAAGCATCCTACAAACTCCCTGGCCAGTTTGCATCTGTTTCTGGAAGCTGAAAGCACAGAATCTGCTGAGGCAGCAACTTTTGGGCCATCAGAAGTAGCAATCAGTCTGCCAGCGTAAGCTAAGGTAGCTCTTTTACAGAGTGCAGTGGAAGTACCTTGCTCTGAAGGTATTATAAATATATTGAAAACCCACACTCACTGATGTGGTCAGTTAAAGTCCACGCGGACATCAATATGTAAACGTATTTCAAATATGTAAATTGTATTTCAAATGCTCTCCTTGACGCACGGCATGCTGCCTGGGCACCTCGTCTACTGTGTAAAAGTTTAATTGGGAAAGAAAAGGTGCAAGTGTGTTTGTCAATTATTCAACAATAAAACTCCAGATGTCCCAAATACACACTCTTAAATACATTAAACCAGTTCATATTCACGGGTGCATGCCTATCGACCATCCCACATGCAGAAGGGATACCTTTTTATTTGGAATAAAATTTTTACCTCTATTCTCCCAAAGATACAGTGTAAGTGTTGTCACAAGATAACAGGATAATGAGGTACTGTAGTCTGTTGTTACTCTACTAACTACTCATTATATACCAGACGCACACAAAAATACCTACTACTTGAACAGGTGAAATGCGACAACCAAATAAATATCACCATAGTACAATACGACTCCTAAAATACATTGCAAGAATTCTAAACACAGGACAACTAAACCTTTACTTGAAATATAAAAAATTAAAACAGAAAACATTCTCCTACAAAGTAAAAATAAAATGAAATAAAATGGCATTAAAATATAATGAAGTTACTGTTTCATAATGAAAATCTGGACTCCATCCACACACTTCCTTCCTTAAGAAGGCCTTCCTAATGTCTCCACAGCTCCTTGTATTTTTTAAGCTCCCATATTCACAGCTAATTCGATATAGCAACATCATCAATCACTGGAGACAGGAACAACTGGCTGTATTCTCCAAGTCTGGCTCAGATACTCCCTCCTCCCCACCCCTTACACCTATCAAAGCTTTTCTCAGTGCCTTATTTACTTCTGCAACACTGGCGCTCAAGCACATCCTTTTTGTTAAGCTTTTGTGTATATTAATTACTGTAAGATAGTTCATAAACACGGGATTTGTGCAGCTGCCAGTGGAAACTGCAGCCGCCGGAGCAAGCCCAGCGTCTGAAGCCGGGTAGCCTGGTAACACGCCAGCACAGCCCAGATGCAAAGTTGACCCTTTATATGTTTCTTCTCTCCCCCACCAGCAAGGCTACGTCACTTGCCATGAGTAACAGAATATTTACTATCAGCTGCAATAAGGAGAATTATTACCAGCGTTACTGAATCACATCAGCAGATACGATGTACTGAGTACAGAAAATTACAGACAACTGCTCCTCTGACTCGACAGTGAATCACACTGTGCAATCGGCACACACGCACGTCCTGCTGCAGCCGCTGGATTCCTCCGCGTACCTTCCAGACCTTAATTTGTATTAATAATATAAATATGCACTGTGAGCTTTTGTGAATTACCAGATGAATTTATCTGGGGTGGAAATCACATTTTCTTTTTCTTTTAAACGAGTCAGCCAAAGGGGCTGAATACAGAATTCAAGTATGATGATGGGTGGGAGCATTTTAAGTGACTGATTTTGCAGCACAATGTGCCCTATATTTATTAGCCTTTTACTCTAGGTCTATTTTAATTGTTATCTGTTCATGCATGCTACACTATATAATGAAATGCTCCCATTTCACTCACAGAGTAGAGAGTTTTTTATGTGTATCTCTATTAATGACCCTTAATTAAGTTGATTTTAGTAATTTAAATGTGATTTTCCTCTGGTCAAGAAGTATTTTTAAAGGGAGATGTTGGAAATGAACTCTCACATAAGCCCTTTTCTAATGCTTCTTGTTTAACAGTTACAGCAATTTAACAGCTATGTTTTCAACGAATGAGGTGTGGGGTAGCCATGCAAAAAACTGTTCATCTACGTGACTCATGAAATGTGACTGTTAGCGACAATTTTTTTTGGTATTTATTTATGAAAGACTTCAAATTTCCCAGCAATTAGCAAAAATGTTACCAAAGGATAGACTTCATGACAGTTCTAAGCTACAATAAATACAAGGGTACATCTTAAAAGAGCCAAGAAATAAATTTAACATATTTTAGAATAATTTAGTCATAGTATCAACAGAAGCACAGTACCAAAATTATTTAGGATTACAAGAATTCACATCTAACTGATTTAGGAAATAAAATCAACTAGCTCTTGATAAAGTAAATCTTACTTAATATATATGAACAATTAACAACATCAAAAGCATTGTTCAGATAACTCAAAAGAGTTATCTGAACATTAAATCACATTAAATATGTGATTTTATATATATATAGATATTTTTTAAACCTAAAAAAAAAGAATGACTGTGGAGATTTTCTTAGTATATATGCATCCGAGGGTAAAACACTAGAAATCTTTAATTTGGCTTGTCAGGTCCTTTTAGTATTATATCATAATTTTGCTTCTTGTGCAAATACTCATTTTATTGAAACTTCAGAGGAATAAAGTTTAAAGTGAGGTCTTAAAAATCACTATGGGTAATAATATGTGGAATCCAACCAATGCAACTAGGTAAGAATATATAGCTTTTTACTGTTAATTACCAAATGTTCCCATTTTTCAACCCAAAATAACGTCTGTGGTTTGATAGATGTTTACTTGTAATTGTAATTCTAACTGTCTTAACAAAACACTGACTTTGTAATGCCCATGTTGCAAAAGTACGTCCAAGCTTCAAAAATAGGATGGGAAAGATTAAAGGTTCTCTCCAACTGTGTGTAACCTGTGTAGCAGAAGAGCAGTTCACATTTCACAAGCAATAACCTGCGCATTTGCTAAAAAAAAAAAAAAGAAAAAAAAGGAGGGAAAAAAAAAAAAAAGAACAACATAGGGAAATGCCTGAGGCAGAAGTTGAAACTGATTGGGCAAAGTAGAAGGACAAGAGCCCTTGAAATTAAACAAAAGCAAATTCATTCTGTTGACAGATGTTGATTACATCAAAGCCACGAAAGAACTTTTTTCTGTTTCTTTTTTTTCCTTTTTTGCAACTAATACCTCTGCGTTTTCTGTACATTAAGGATATAACATATCTTAATCAACACAACCCAACACGTAATAATTTTTAAATTTGGTAAAAGTATATTATAACGAGGTCTTAACGACAGGCTTCTCCAAACAAGAGTGTATTCACATGGTCATGTCTGCATACCCGTGCTGGTCATGCCATCATCAGCCCCTTACTTCCAGGGGTTAACTGCTCTGGCAGCCAAATAAAATACAGAGAGCGCTGTGTAATTATGGAGACAGTCAAAGGGCAGACTCTATTTTGAAATCTATTTGCACAGACAAGGTCTTCCAATTTCGCTTACAGGAAACAAGCTGGTAAAGGGGGTCTCCTCCTCTCCAGATGCTTTCCACACTTTTTTCCCACGTCAGGAAATCGTGGACATGGACACCATGCAGCACTGTTTCCTGGATTGCAGGACTATGTCATTACAAGGAGAAGAGCAAGTCCATGCTCGTGAGAAATATTTCCTCCTAATTGCCCATATTAGGGGAAAGCAAAACCCATAAGGACTACTGAAAATGTGACTAGCAGCAATTTGTAAACAGGACGCAGCCACAGCTGTCATGATGGTACTGGAAAAGAGAAAACAGAAATGAAAGGGTAAAAACACTCTGATTTTAATAGCATGATTGGGGAAATGAAATATTCATCAGGATAGATGTGACTTCAGTTACAACAGCAACACATTGGTCAAAATCTCGGCAACAGCATGCTTATGACTGTACCCTGACAAACCGAAACACAGACCAGTATCTTGCAAACATTATATTCTAATTGGCATTGTTTTATTTAATTATTGAAATTAACTGGAAATTAACAACAGAAGTTGTTTAGTTAATAAAGGCATTAACAGAATTGCTGTTCTCATTACTCTCAAAAGGACCAATAAAGCAAGGCAAGGGCCAAATGCCGATCGACTCCAAGGGAGCCGAGTCAGCCCCTCTGCCGACACCACTGGGGCTCCTCCATGACACTGGAAAAAGTCAAGTTTGGCCCTCAGGACCAGTTATGCTCCCTGCTAATTAAAATTTTGCCCTTACTTCATGGAGAGCAAAACGGGCAATTTGTTTGCTGGATGCTAATACAAATGAGTTTTTTAATTGGGTGTAAATTTATAAACTATATCGAAATACATTCTCATTTGGCTTTACTTATTATGACTTAGTCTAGACCAGCACACTAAAATGATGAATCAGTGCCTCCTGGAATAGTGTCGTCCTTTTAATTCATTGTTCAGGCAAACTTAGGGCCAACAAAATAGCTGTTCTACAAGTTGGTAAACTGGGAAACCACAGAGAATCAGAACCTCTTCTATTTACAGGAAGGATGACAGCCTAAGGGTACTTCATCCCAATAATAACAACATTCAAGTAATGGTGCCCAGGTCATGACAAGCCATGACCCTCCCTATAGCTCCTTCAGGAAGCTGGCTCGGTGCCACCTTTTGTCAGCAGCAACCAACAGTGCAACTTTAACAAACAAGAAGAAAAGGAAAAATTAATTTTACATCCTTAAAAACCCCTTCGACCAATTGAGTAGTTGTATATAAATATACACACAGAGTCACACCAAGCCAGTATAAGAAATAAATTCACTGACTCAGTAAAATTACGGTATCGTTAAACAGCACTTTCCCATTTTATCATAGGTTTAAAAAATACAGAGCACAATCTAACTATATCTGAATGATATTCATTCATATACCAAAGGAAATTAATTGTCCAATACAGAAAATGCGGCTGGGCTGTACAGGCTTAACTTTGGGAACAGGGCATTGTAGTTCTCCAATACAGCCTTCCATCCTAGTGTTATTTCTACCACATTTTCTCTCTCCGATAGAGTAACACAAGTAGAAAATAAAAAGAAAGTGTTGCCTAACGCAGTATCACAGCAAAATGAAAGTAGTCAGGTACAAAAACTGGACAAAGCAATATTAAGAGTTTCACACACAGTTAATATCAGGGGAATTTAGGCTCCAGATCACAGCATCTGGCAAGTTTCAACTTCTGTGACTAGCAGGAGAAACATTCCTCTTATGTTACTGCATTCCTGTATCGAGTAAATTAATTTATGATAAAGTGAATAAATTAGAATGAGAAACATATCTGCTCAGGTCTGCATATTTAAATACATCTTTCAATCACTTTCCATCTATCTTTAGGTTTTTTAAAAGATCAGAGGAATTACTTGCGCTTGAAAGACTGGTTATTGTATTCATTATTTTGATTTTGTAGGGAAGTAACAACTGTTGGAACAAGATACTCAGTTTAAAAAATAGCAGTTGTTTCAGATTAAAATAATAAGCTATTCAAATAGTCCTTACACACACGCACAATACCGAATCTTGTTAATATGCACCCACCCACAGCTTAAACATCCATTGAATCCTACTGGGATAAAATCTTTTCAGGTGCTCTGTGAAACAACTGTTTTTCAACTGGCATGGTTATGTCCTATATACACTCCTGATACAGTATTAAATGTTAAAAATAAATCCTACTCTAACCTCTTAAATTTCCACCTGAAATGGAAAAAAAATATGTCTGAATCATCACAGAAAGCGTTTCCCACAGAAATCCTTTCAGAGGGTGAGCGAGGCTGCTGAAATAAGAGTAATCTTCGCACAGAAAATTTAGGAGTGCTCCTGAACATCGTATAGGATTTTCTGCGTAGCTTGAGACACAGGAAGAGAATGGACAGTCAGGAGTCTTTTCCCTGCACAAAATAAGACCCATTGCAATAATTATTTTCAATACACCTGCAGCCCAATCTCTAAGGATACAAGATGATTGCTGACCCGTAAGCCAGTCTTATCTCAAAATTTTAAAAAAGTGCACACTGCTAGCAATTTTGGGATGAATACCTTAATAAAATAAGATTACATTACTATTCATTTGGTAAAAATGACAGCTAGCAGTGTTTCTTGCCTTGTATTAAATGTTGTTAGTTACTTGCATTGTCCTGTTTTCACATGAAAACACAAGTTACATTAGGACAGTGAGTCTTTACTGAGAAAACACGTATTGTCCTTCTTTAGAGTGAAGAGCGTAAGGTTGAGGAATTACATCCTATAACCCGGACTTCAAAATATATGAGCAGAGAGGTGTAAGAATTTACAGCTGTTTCTACTAAACTATTGCAGTGGTGGTGGAAACAAGCTCTTATTTTTTTTTCAAGAAGATGCTCTGCACAAGGAAGATGTTCCAATCAAGAGCTCACTGCAGACAACTTGTAGCATCCTTATTAAAACATTTATTTTTAAACCTGTCAGTCATTAGTATGTGCTGTTTATGCATAACTTGGAAGCTTATTCATAAATATGTGACATTTGGGTCACTGAATGAATTATAATGATAGGAATATGGATCGAATTTGGAAGAGTACAGTATAATGTTTGGGAACTATTTTTTAGATTTGGGAGCTATTTTTTTTTTTTAAATACCTTTCACTTATCTCCTTGCTTAACATTACAAAGACCTCTTTCTTATCATAAAAGCCCCTGTTTATCAAACAGTGATACAGGAAGAAGTTGTTTACATTTTCATAAGTACCAACATACATCACTTACGACAAAAAAAACAAGCACTCCATAAGAAATTCTCAATCACTGTCAATCATACACAATAAAATATACATAAACCAAAGCATGTGGTGTGAACTATATTAGTTCAAACTGAACACAGAATTACAACTATAACAAACAAAAAACAAATAATTACAAGTGACTCATAGGCCTATTTACACATCTCACTAAACTGCTGGAAAGGTAGGTAACCATAGAAACCTGACAGCCTAAATTCAGTACTTTAAAATCTGTATTTAGTTTAAAATGCTGAAAATTATGTTTCTATTTGACGAAATCCATATTTTTAAAAGCTTCCGTTTTTGCTTTGGTACTTAAATAAATGCTTAAAATTATTTCCTGTCTCTGTTACCTTTAGATTTGATTTTATCCAAGTAAAGATTACAGTTTACTCTTTGTAATATAAAATGTTAATACATTTTAATACTGCAAATTAATATTTTTAACATTTCTTTAATGATTGAAATTAAATAATGATATAAAACAAACACTCCTGCACTTACTATTTAATGTTTTGCATATAAACTTTTCTAAGCTGCAAACTAGCAAAAAAAAAAGATTACTCAAATTAACTGTTAAAGCCAAAATGCTAATAGCCTTTTCAACTTATAGTTCTTTTTCACTGACAATTACAATTTGCATGGCTTAAAATTTAATATTATGATTAGTACTAATGTCCTATATTTTACTTCATAACCTAAATGAGTAAAATGTTATTTTTGTAGTTCACTGGCTCTTAGGCTGTAATGTTCAGTGTGTATTTCATTATGCAGATGAGCAATGGATGTCGTCTAACATGATTTAAATGGGTCAACAGTATTTTCCTATTCACATTAATCATCCAGACAGCCACAAAAAAAAAAGCCTTGAAAACTAACCTAGGAAATCTCTTTCTATCACCGACTCTTCCCACTAGTCAAACAACAGCAAACACATGCTACAGGAGACGGGAGCCTCGCAGACCGGGGAGCCAAGGCTGGGCGCTGCTCCTCTCGCTGGTGCACAGCTCCTGCCGCAACCGGCGCAGCTCCTGCCGCAACCGGTGCCGGCAGCGGGCAGCGCTCCCCGGGCTGCCCGCGACCCCGTGCCAAGAATGATTCTCATCCCGCAAAGTTCAATGGGAGCTGTGTGTTGACAAACTGAGCAAATTTGAATCAGCAAAATTCGTTCTTGGCACGGGGACATGCAACTGCGCTGAATGCAAAGGCGTGCTGCCTGCTGACGCTGCGCTGGCAGCCGGGCTCTTCTTGCATAAATTCACTTGTTGGAAAACTCCCACTAAAGTCAAAGGACACAGGATCAGGCCAATTATTTATAAAACACATCAAAACTAAGGGCTCTATTCTCAAGCCACGTAACCATCATCAAAGGCCCGTTTCATATATAGCATATTGCAAATAAAATTTGTAAGTAACAGGGCTTCTGTGGAAAGGGAAGCTGCTCTAATAAATGCCAAAAGGAAAGAACGTAAGTACAAAACAGGCAGAAAGTAACAGGAAGATCAGGTACCAAACATTCAGATTCATTCATTCAATGAATATAAAAGCAGGATTAAAAAAAAAAAAAAAAAAGGGGAAGCGATCAGGATTCCTTCAAACATGAAAGTACTGCCGTGGCACAAAATCTCTATAAAGGCAGAGATGACACTTTTGATTACACGGCAGCGTAACAGGGCTGGCAGAGCTTGCCTGGGAAATGCCACGCTGTTCATACCACAGGGCAGATCCTGCAGGACAACACAGGGGAGGTCCGATCTTCTTGGAGATGGGATGCACAGGCTGCGAGACCACGGGCAGACAAGTGGTGGGACTCCTTACCTCCTCCCTATTGCTGCTGGACAGTGTGTGCTCCACATCCATCCTTATTTAGACATTTAGACTGATATCAGCACAGCTATTGATATTTCTGTTTATTTTCTAGTAACAAATTTAAAACTTTAAAACTTTGGCTTCTGTTGAAAGTAGCTGTTATTTGCTGAACAGGTGTCAGTGATACAGCACACAACACCTCTTTTCCAGAAGCTATTCTGGCCACTCACTTGCTACCATAATCCAAATTTCTGATTTGAGATTGAAAACCAATAATAAAGCTTGAGCACTGGCCACCGGCTTTCTCTGACAGCCTTCACCATGCTTCCTTTTCCAATCCACAGATGTAAATGAGGGGAGTAGGAACTGAGCTTCAGCTTTTAAAGTAAACTAATCGACATATGGCAAAGTAGGAGGTTTCCAACTATTCAGACCTCAGAAGACTTCGTTTGCAACACTCATGCCCTGGACAAGTGTTTCACCAGTACCTAATAAACAGCTGGGTACAGCGGGCACCTTGACCAGATGCAGTAACTGTCCAGTGCAAAGAGCTAAGGCATCCATAGGCACTGACCTGGTGGATGATTTACAGTAAATTAAACAATAACCACCACTATGATGACTAAGGTTCAGTCTTCACCATGACCTTTTTTAGGTGTTGAGAACATGGAGGAGAGAGCAGTGTATTTCATGGTGTGACAACGCACGTGCAGGTCAGTATCCAGCACACTCGTTTCCCCTGTGCTCTGTCCCATGTAATGCACATCAGGAGGAGTCAAGACATCGGACATTCAACATCTGTGAGTTTCTAAAGCGCGTCTTTGGGACTGGCTCCAGCCCTGCCCATCTGGCCCCTTGCTTTCCAGTGAGAAAACATCACATTTAGATCCCAAGAGCTAGCTGGCAGCCCTGAGAGGTAAGGACGGACCTCTGGGTTTCTCCACTGCCCCATATCCCATGGTCAACACCCCAGCTACTGCTATGAGAAATTTCCTGGAGGAACTGCAAGCAGCACTTGTCTTACTGAAACAAAGACAATAAATCACAAATTACAGCAGCTGCTTAATCCCTAGAGAGCAGATCATGCAGTCCAGTTGCACTTTAGGCAGTGCCTCTCACCTCCAAATCTTGACCTCGCTCCCAGTCACTTCTCCCAATGCACACTGGACAGATGTCAGCCACCCACATAACACCTCCTTACTGCATACAGTGCTCCAAGGATGGGTATGGCAAGGCCCGTGACAGCCACTCCCCACACAGGCAGACTTAAAAAAATTAGAATACTTAATTTCTAAACTATCTTCACCAGGCTGTTCACTGACTTTGTACAGTTTATTGGACTACTCCACCATCTGATTTTCTAAGATAGACAGAGTAAGCAAAGGGTCTTCGCAAGAAATTAGGTCTCCAACTCCTTTTTCTAGACTGAAAAGGATTTACACTGCTCTTCTCTGCACAGATAGTAAATCTGTAAGAAGCAATAAATGTTTTGCTTTCCACAAGATGAAGATAATCTAACTTGCCAGCTAAATACGACAGGCATTTCTTCAGAGCAGGCTTAGCTACCTTGTCTGCAAGGCTGGGCAGCAATCCATGAAATTCTCCATGGGGACATCCCACTTAACCAATCACCAATTTGCAAACTCAGCTCAGAACTTTTGCAAGACATGATTGTCTTGCATGGTTTGTCAAACATCCACCTCAACTCTCTTTTTGTTTTTGTTACGTGTTTGTGGTTTAAATACACCCATTTGCAATAGTATTGCCCACTGGAGAGACAGACCAGTGTGGGCAGCAACCTGAGCCCGCAGCTGGATCTCCAAGTTGCTCTGACGGGATTGAGTTGCTTGCAAGTGCAGAAAAGTTTCAACTAGAACACAGCTCACTTATGTATTTATTTGGAGCTCTGGAGGCAGAACTGACACAAAAGACAAAATTTGTAAAGATATTAATTGCATAAAAAGAAAAATTTTTGCAAAGGCTTCCCATTCAATTTGATACAAAAAAAGAGCATTTTTATTTCTAAGTAAAAATTAACATGACTGGAAGAGAAGGCTGCATACCTGTCTGTGTGTCATGCAAGTTACAAGCACATACTGCATTCCTGATGGGGAGAACTCAAAAAACAAATAAAAAATGGCCTAGTAGTAGAGCCATGCATGTGGCAAGTAGTACACATCCGTGCTATTAAGAAAGGCCAGTGATCCTGGCAGCCCCTGGTAAATCCAATGATAGTGCTGACCCATCTTGACAGTGCTTTACTAAACCTGCAGATCTGCATGGGGAAACATTTATGTCTCAATTTTACTGGTGTTTTCAGCTGCAAAGGCACTGTTTTTCTAATTAAAAAAATCAGGTCAGTGAAGTTGTTCATTAAACCTCTATCCAGATGTGATTCATGATGCACTATAAATTATTCTGAGGATTATAAAATAGAGCTGGACAGAGAGAGTATACAAACCTTAACTCTGGAGCGCTCCCACAACTGTCTGCAGAAGCCCAGCCACAGAACCAGGCACCTTCTGCATTTTACTTCATATCTTTGGTCTGTCTCTTGGAAGACTTTGGTCCAACACCTGGAAAAATACTGAGTGAGAAGCTTTGGCGCTAAAATATATGAAAGATGTGATAACATGTTATGTGTATTGACAAAATCATAGCCGAGACATGTACAGGAGCAGCTCTCAACTCCTTTTGACTCCCAAGTCATCCCCAAATCAGCAAATTCAGTCAATTATGGGCCAAGAATCCTGCTGCATATTTTAATCATGGAAAACGTGAAGTCCATTTCAACCCACCCGCATGGCCTGTTGCAAAGTGATGTGACTGTGAATTTGAATTTTATGACCCTGGCCACAACTTTATAGACATCAGGGCTCCCGATTTGCATTCGCTGAGCAAACAGCTACAGCAAAGATGACTCTGACTTGGCTGCTGCCACCGCAATGTCACAGTCAGCAGAAGCGGTGTGCTCGTGCCTCCGCCGTGCCTGCTCATGGTGCAGTGGTTGTAGTCCATCATCACCACTTGTCACACCAGAGGGGACAGGAGAGAATCAGTGCCTTTACCCCAGCCACTCCAAGCAGATTATTTTCAGCTGGCTGAACTCTCAGCTGGCAACCTCCCACCAACCCGTGGCAACCTCCAGCTGGGTCCTACAGCTGGGGATACTGTTGCAGAAAAAGCTGCCAAAGCTTGTCTGCCAGCTACCTTATTCTATACCTGATTTTGTGAAACAGTTTTTACAAAAGAGTTATTTGGACAAAACGTTCCCAAATGAACAAAAGCAGGACTGTCTTTATCAAGCAGGTTTTAGAAATAGCCACTTCTCCTGCAGTCTTTGGGTTGCTCTGCAATTAAAGTTTTACCAGAAAACATTTATTAGTTAAGGAGAGTACTCTGCAACCCAAAACTCTTAGACAATGTAACAATACCACTCGCCAAACTGCTGGGACAGAGCTATACCAGCAAAATAATTCTTGCTGGTACAACTTGATCTTTTGGAGTAACCAATTTAAGCTTTCCCAGAAGAGAGATGATCTCACAAGCTGACCTTCTGCTGAATTAGTAGGGTCTGCCAGAGCATGAACAAATCTTTACAAACCCAGACAAGTCCTACTACTTTACTTATTTCTTTAAAGAACGCCCATTTCCTTTAAGTCTCTGCCATGAGCCATAAGAAAGACGTTAATAATAATTAGTGCAGAACAACCAGTGCTCTGAGAGGTGAGACCTGCCTAGTCACCTCACTGTATTGTTAGTTCAGAAATCACATGGCAATGAAATTAAGCCTCGTCACCGCCTACCATTTCAACCACAATGCGAGAGTGTGACTCAATTCTCAGACCTGCACAAACCACTGTGGGCAACACCTCATCTCCGTGTCAAACCAGGACATCTTTGCAAGATGACTATCCACTTTGTCCAGTGGAGAAGGACCTCAACTCAACAACTCTAGATGAGTTTACAAGCACATTCAAGAGCTATGAATCCAAGCAGCATACAAGCAGATCTGCAGTGACCGCACCATCTATGACACAAAGCACCTCATTTTTACGACTTGTGGAAGGAGGTTAGGAGCTCGCTGTTTCTTGTTTTCAACTCCAAATTCACCTGTGTCTATCAGAAACTCTGAGACTGAATAGCTGGAATTTATGTGAGACACAATTTCTTTGCCATTTTCTTTCAATGTTACGCCACGTCTATTGACTTTCATAATTTAAAAAATACATAAGGCAGGACCTAATTTAAGTTTATGTACAACTAAACATGAAACAGATAATCTGAGAAGTGTAC